CCACTGAGATACTTCATCATGGCCCCTGTGACTGCCTCTCCCAGAGTTACTCTTTACCTTTACGGCTGTCACCTGGAGGATGAAATATGCTGGTCTTTGTCCAAGTCCAGGAGAGGAACAGAACAAATCTGCTTTCCATAAATAGATCTCCAAACTCACTAAGTATATAACTGGAAAATCACTGAGTGCAATAATGATAAGTGTAAATCCAGATTTTTACCTTAAATTTAGAAAGTGTTTCTGCAAAGTCAGACCCAGCTATAAGGAGCTGACAGAGACCAAATGGTATCACAGAGTTTATAGTTTCAGCAATGGGCAGGACCTGCTATCTGCAAGGAGCTGCTGCAGAGGAGGATACCAGAGACCACTGAACACCCTTGGCTCTTCAGGAAAAAACGGATAAAATAAAGTAGCACTTGCTGGGTTTTTTATGGGTCAATGTACAAAGATGAGTACTGAGAGAACCAACCTCTTCCCGGTTAGGTCATTTTCAGTTTTATTTTTTGTGTATCCTGTGCATTAGTCCCCATTATGAACCACTTTTCATCATATGCCTACTCTGGATAAAACCATTTCCTTGCATTGCTTTGGGTAAGCTGTGCTTTCTCCTCAACACCCCTCATTGAGCCCAATTTTGAGCTCTCATGTGTCTGAGAGCAGGGCTAATGGAAAGAAAACACTCCAGGAGAACACAGGGAAAATAAAATCCATACAGCAGATAAGTTATGCTGCCAGTTGCAAGGAACAAATCTGTGCAGTCAAGGGAATACAGCTTTCTAAGACACTACTTCCTGCTGCTAAACAATTCAGGAATGGGTTTTTATATCCCTTAGCAACCTAATGTTCTCAAAATCAACAGGAATTTTGGCACAGCAACTTCCTGTTAATGAACTGTTTGTGATGCTTTAAAAAAAATTATACAGCCTGTCACTGAAGAAAATAAGGCCTCTGATAAAAGTCATCTCCAGGAAAGGGTGGAAGTGAACTGCAATTAACCTCTTCCCTTCTGCTGTCCATCATGTTGCTGGCATGTCACTGCCGTATTGTGCTGCAGGGATTGCTCATGGACGCTCCTGCCGAGCATGCTCAGCCGTGTCCCCACCCAGCTGATGAAGAGGACTGTTCTCCCCATGTCCCAGGGTTTTCTCCAGCTCTGTTTCCACTTTGAGCTGACAGTTCTGAATTGCCTCCTGGATGCTCTGCAGGTTCCACTGGGTTCTCGGGAGAGCGTCGTCCACTGTGAAAACCCCGTCGCGTATTCTCCGCACTTGTGTGCACACAGCAGATGATTTCAGCTCCAGACCAATCTCATGAACCAGCTTCCGGAGGTACTGCTGAGTCTCGTGCAAGCAATGGATTTCTAGGAGGACAGAGACATTCTTTCAGAAGCAAAGCTTTGACACAAGCTCTGACATTGTAAATCCAGACATCACTTGCAGTTATGCTGAAAGAACTGGTTTGGCAGAAGACACTAAGAGCATGGTATGATTTTTCTGGAATACTGCAGGGTGTTCCACACCCTTCCAAAGTGAATACTTTAGAAAACAAACCTATAGATATAGAAGAGTAATGTAGAAATATAGGTATTTCAAAGGAGATAAAAAGGCACCTTTTTTAATAAGACAATTTGTGAGGGAAGGGGTACTGGCTACAGGAAAACAGACCACACTTTTAAAAAAACCAAAACCCAGCACTGAAATGCATTACACTGAAACACTGAGCTAAGAAGAATTTCCCCCATAGGTATTCATGATGCAAATTTTCCAGCCTTGCGTTTAGATGTGAACTGGCAAGGAGAAAGTTATGAGCCAGCTGGATTTACCAGAGAAATTACAAGTCAAGAAGAAATTCCCATCAACTCATTTTGCATTAAATAATGAGTAAGAAAATGAAGTTTACCTACTTATTTGCCATAATATATATACTCAGAGCTCCCCAGTACATTCTGCGCCAGTCCTACCTAGCTGGAATTCTGGAAGTGCAAACTGGATGCATCGGACTGCTGTGATTATTGGGGGGCTTTTTCCCATGGGGCGAATCAACCCTTTGACAGCCAGCTCATATGCCTCTTGTGTTTTCATATCAATGTTAGAATACCTAAGAAAAAAAAAAGAGCACCAGAGACATTTAGAACTTCTCTCCAAAGAGATTCAAAATATGTGTCCATCCCAAATAAAACAGAGATGCAATTTTTACTCTTAGAACTATCCAGGGAGTTTTTGCATATATTTTAGTAGTGTATGTACTGTCAGTAGTGTAGCACAGTTTGGGAGGGAGGTACTTAGTCATGTCTATGAGTTATTTTTGTCAGCCCTAATATAGCAGATTGGTCCTAAACCAGCAGACTGGAGATTTTGGGATACAAGGAAGACTTACTGCAACCTCTCAGCAAAGCACAGAGCACTCAGTGTAACTCCTCTCTGCCCCTTGGTAGCACTCCAATCTCTAAAGACTTTGATTATTGGAGACAAAATCCTCTCATTTGTTTTGAAGACATTTGAAGCAAATGCTACTGGGATCAGATCAGCTCACTTCCCCGGTGGATACGCACATCAGCAGGGCCTTTTGATTTGTCCCTTGAATGACAGCAAGAATCCGCTCCAGCTTCTCCCTTGTGATATGATCTGCAATATTAAGGCAGAAACAAAGTCTCAATTATCCATCCAGAAACTGGAAAGCCTGAGAAGTGCCACTGGGGTATTGCCGTCCCTCAAGCAGGCACATCAAAAGGGGCTGATGAGAGCTGAGGGGTGGCCTTTGCAAGGTCACTTCCCCTGGTTCTACAGATCTGGACTGCAAAGGGAAAAGTTATTTTGCTTAACTGATTCCAAAATGTTGATGCTCCAGTTTTCTTACTGTATGTTTTCATTTAATAAAATCTCCTAACTACTATCTCCAAGTGTGATTCACAGGGAGATCTGGGTCCTGACCAACCCAGTAGCAACCACTGTGACCAGCATTCACACTGGCTTTGTATATATTGTGGTTAGATTTAGAACACAAGAACTACGACATCAACAAGGACTAGAAGACATTCACGATGTGGCTTTTGTCATTGTGCAATTTACCTAATTAAATGCTTTGCAGTTAATCTGCTGTTTGGTGTTCTGTTTAAAAAAAAAAAACAAAAACCAACCACAACAGTTTCTTACCAAATGTTGTCTTCTCTACTAAATTCCCTGTGTCTGAGAAGTCATCAGTGGCTTTACCAAAAAGCCCACCAACAGTATAAACCTGGAAGAAGGACAAAGAGTGCAAATTACCAAAAAAATGCTCCAAGCAATTGAGTAGCAGTATTGAATGCAACTGCTACAAGTGCAGGCTATGAGAGTTTTGCACAAAAAGACAGCAGCATCCTCTGCTCAAAAAGCCACAGGTGGATGCTCATGTGAAGGATGAAACTCTGAACTCTGAATAGCTCACAGAAGCATTGGTAGGTTTGAGACTTAAGTGCAAAATCAGCATCACAAGGCTGGTCTGGGGCACTGGGGCAGGATCAGAGTGCGACGGCACTCTGGGGCTCCATGGCCTGCTCAGGGCCAGCACCTACCTTGGTCAGGTGGCAGTTATAGAGATCAGTGAGCAGCTTGTTCCCATGGCCAATGCCAAGCACTGAAACAGAAAATGGTGAACTTGTTATTCAGCCTCACAAAAAGTCACTGATGTGCATTTACACAGCACTGAACACGCACACCACTCTTGTCCCCTAGACCGGGCTGTATCTCCTCAGGAGTCATGTCTGAGCAGTGCAATCAGACCCTGAGATTATTGTCTGGCATGAAAACCATAGGGCTGCAACCAGAGCTCTGGGATTTTCCCAGAACTCTCCACCTGGGCACCCAGGGCAAATGTTCAGCAGTGCCAGCCACAGCGAAGCCAGTTCAGGTGGTGGAGCAGACATGGGAATTAGCATCCCCCAGCAAAACACCGTGTGCCTGGGTCTCTCTCCAGCTTTGCCAGTGGCTTGCCGGGACATTTCTTCTGTGTTTTAGTACTTTAAACTCCCAGTGGGGCTGTGAGATCCAGGGGCTGCTGCAGAGCAATGGCCATGCATCCACCCTTATCCCCTGCGTGGAAACCCATCACTTTGCAGACAGCAGAACACGGGGCTGCTCCAGGACAAGACCCACCGAAGACTCCCGAGGCTTTCACATCCAGCCGGTGACCTGCTCCGATCTTCAGCTTCCTGAACCGCGGGCCCATGACTGCAACGGAGACAGTGATGGAGCCGGTCCGCAGCGCCTGCCCGGGGCTCCCACCGGTCCCCGGTTTCTCCCGGCCCAAGCCCCGCCGTGCCCTTACCGAGAGGGTGGTCGGCCAGCACCGGCACCTTGGCAGCCACCAGCTCCAGGGCCCCGCCGCCGCCCGGGGCCGGGGCCGGCAGGAAGCGGACTCGCTGCCGCGGGGGGCGGCCCGGTGCGGCGTTCAGGTCTGGAAGAGAAACGAGGCGGAGGGGTCAGGGGCGGCCGGAGAACCCCGGGGATGGGACGGGATGAGGATGAGGAGGGGATGGGGAGGGGATGGAGATGGGATGGAGACGGGATGGGGATGGGATGGAGACGGGATGGGGATGGGATGGAGACGGGATGGGGATGGGATGGGCCCCACCGGTAGCCCCTGGGGATGGGACTGGTTAGGGAGTCCCGCCGCCCGCGCTCACCGCGCAGCAGCCGCGTCTCCACCGCCTCCCGGACGCGGCTCCACGCCACCCCCGCCGGCTTGTACACGGCGAACAGCCCGGCCAGCCCGGCCAGCCCGGCCGCCGCCATGGCCACCCCGCCCCGCCCCGCGTGGGGCGCTTCCGGGGCAGCGGCGGGGCCGGCACCGAGGATGCGGCAGCTGCTGCTGCGGGCGGCGCGGGCGGGGGTCCCGCTGCACCGGGGGGGTCCCGCTTCCCCAGGCAAGTGCCTCCCTCCGCAGCCCCTGGAGCGTCCGGACCAGCCCCTCAGCCGGGCCGCTCCGGTCCCTTACCCGCTGCTCCCCGCAGGCAGAGCCCGGCCGAGCCACAACGAGCCGCGGGGCCGGGATGGACGCGGCGGGGAGGAGGAGGAGGAGATGGAAGGGTGGCACCAGCTGTACCCCGGGCACATCCCCACCAGCCCGCTGCAGAAGGCGCTGCTGGCCGCCGGCTCCGCGGTCATGGCGCTCTGTGACCCCTACAGACACGGTAAGGCCGGCGAGGGGAGCGCCTGACAGCCGCGTCCAGAAAACCCCGCTCCCTGCCTCCTCGGAGCTTCATAGGAGAGTTTGGGGCAAGCGCAGGGATAAGAACTGAGCCGGCGCAGGAGGCTATGAAAGACAGGGAGTGAGGAAACCCAAACACACGCCAGTGTGACCCCTTGTGATGCCACCCAGACCGGTCTATTTCTCCAGAGTCCCCCAGGCTTCATGCCTGCTCCTCCATCCCACTCCCAGGAAGGGTCATGTGGGTGACATCAGGGCAGAGTAGTCCTGAAGCTGAAGATCTGTGGTTTATGGAGTCCCCACTTTGCCACAGGCTTCCAGCCTGCTCCTGGTCAATGGGTTCATTGCCCTATTTCCTCACCTGCCAACCAAGAATAGCTGGGTGTTGCGAAAATAGCTCTTGGGTCATTCTCTGGTCTCTTTTTCAGACATGGTGGCAGTCCTTGGGGAGACCACGGGCTGCCTGGCCCTGCCAAACCTGCGAGACAAGATGAAAAACCACCCTGAAGGTTACCGCATCCTCCAGTGCGTCCCTCCCCATCCCTCCCACCTTCACCGCATGGTTTGTGGTGGGGAGGCAGACACGAGGCCAAGTGGGTTCCTTGGCCCTGCTTGGAAGCAGCACAAGTGTTTTGTTAGCTCTAGCCCTCCAGGCTAACTTTATTTTTAATGTTCACGGGAGCCCTGTGACATGTCTAAGGGCAGGCACTACTTGCCTGTCTGTTCTGCTTTGCTGCTGGAACTGGCAGCTGCCAACACCACAAGATGCAGCAGCAGGCACAGGGGAGAAACTCATGGATGTGGATGCTGAGCAGTGATGAGAACACACTACATCCATGGGTTTCTTCCCTGTGCCTGCTGCTGCATTTTCTTGCATTGGGGACTTTGTCTCTGCTGGTCTGCCTCCTCCTTAGGCTTCTATTTTTTTTCCTGGCTCAAGCTGAAATGAGGGTTCTCTTGTTTTCTTCTTTACGACTCCATCACTTCTGCTTCCATGTCTGCAAGGACTTGTTGAGTGCAGCAAGGCTGAGGACCAGGAGGGATTTCTCTTATTAACCAAGCTCTCACTGTATATCTGCTTGCCTTCTACCTGTTCCCTGTTGTGTGTCACACCCACTGCTTGTGTCACATAGCAGCTAGAGAAAAATTGCCTTTTGCCATATGTTTGTGCAGACCAGCCTCATCCTGGCTCAGGAAGTTGACTTGGTAAAACATCCAGAGCACTGGGATGGGGCTGAATCCCAGAAGAAATGCCCAAGCAGAGGACTGGGAAGGGACATACCCACCTTCTCCTTGCCCTGTGGTATTGCAGGGATTTTCAGGGGTCTGAATTAGGCACACAGGTATTTTTGTTTTTAGCCCCCAAGCTGCTGAGGTCCCTTTGACAACAAATACACAAGGAAATATCTGCAGCCAGTGTGAAACTGGTGCCAGTGTTGCTTATCTTCCTGGCACCTCCAGTCTAGGAGCTGAGCAGGTCCTGGATCCACTGTGGGGCTTTTATCATAGGAAGAGTTTACCCTGTGAATGGAAATAAAAGGGCTTTTGTTTACTTCCAAAGCTGTGAGGCACCTGTTTGCCAACAACCTGTAGAGGAGACCTTTCTCTGTGTGGCTGCCATGTGGCTGGTGGTGAAAGCCTGAGCAGGATTGAAATGAAACCTGTGTTTACAACAAATTCCTTCTTCTCTTTGGGGTTGTTCATTTGCAGCTCTGGCTGCTTTGCAGGGGCACTAAATTGCTCTGCTCTGCAGTGTTGGCTGCTGCTGGGGGCTGTGCCTGGCTGGCAGCCTACACAGCAGCACTGTGCAGAGGACACCAATGTTTTTCTCACCAGAGCTGTTACAAGTGCACAAGATAAAAGCCCTTTTATTGCCAAGGCTTCAGGTATATCCTTTAAGCAATTTGTGTCCCAGCCTCCACAATAGAAGTGCAGACAGTGCTGTCCCTGCAGTGAGCAGTTAGGATCTGCACAGGGAAATAGCAAGGATAGGCAGAGGCAGGAGTGGGGGTTTCCAAGGGTTCTTTTTCTCCAGGACCAGCTGCTGTGGGTTTCACTGGGAGGCTCACTGGCCTGTGTTTTGCTTCCAGGGAACGGCCTCGCATCCGTCTCTCCACCCTGGACATGGCCAGGCTGCAGGGGCTGCCGGATGGCTCACTGGGCCGGGAGTATGTCCGGTTCTTGGAGGACAATGTGAGTGTGGGGTTTCATGTGGTGCAGATTTCTAGCTGGTGGCTGATCCCTGTGCTGGGAGCACAGGTGAGGTTCAGACATGGAGTTGAGTTGGACCTCTTTGGAGTTGCAGAAGGTTTCTCCAGACACCCGGATGCCGCCCAAGTTTGTTGATGATGAAGAGCTGGCATACGTGATCCAGCGGTACCGGGAAGTCCATGACCTGATGCACACCCTCCTGGGCATGCCAACCAACATGCTGGGTGAGCAGCAGCAGGCTCAGGGAGCTGCACTGCCAAGCCCACCAATTGTGCTTGGTTCCCCCCCGAAGGTGGAGCAGGCTGGGCCAGCCAGACTCCCTGATCCTCAGCCCGGGTCAGTGTGTGGGGATTTTGCATCACCACTGTCCTACATCACTGGCTCTGTGGTGACCGAAAGGTCATGAGATGTCACCTTTTCCATGCTGAGAGATGCTCTGCCCAAGCCCTGGGCACAGGCAGATGGGTGGTTTCTGCCTGGAATGGAGGGTGGCAAGGAGGGAGGGATGTTTTGCAAGCTCTCTGTGAAGGCAGAAGGGAATTCCTGGTTACTCCTTATCTGCACGTCTCTGTGTCCTCTGCCCTCGTTTTGTGTCTGACTCAATAGCAAGTCACAAGTGCAGCCTTGTGGGTGCCTGTGGGAACCAGCATGACTGGTCTCCTCTGCAGGCTTTGCCCAAGTCCAGGCAGTTTTGTAAAAGGCCTGTGCTGGGAGACTGGGAGAGCCACACGGAGCATTGGGCCTTGGCACTGCATTGCTGAGGTCTGCAGGGAGTTGGACTGCCTGGGACGTGTTCCCCAAGCTCCCAGGGCTTGTGGGATGCCATCCCTCTGGGGTGGGTGAGTGGTGTGTGACAAGGCCGATCCTGGCACAGGATGAGGCCATGGCCAGGCTTAGGAAGCATTCCCAAGTAGCCATCCTTGGGAAGGGCAGATGTACAGCCTGTGCTGAGGAGCCTCGCAGCCCTGGCTGGCCCTTGATCCTGTCTGCTCACAACCTCCCTGCTCCCTCCCAGGTGAGGTGGTGGTGAAGTGGTTCGAAGCCATCCAGACAGGGCTGCCCATGTGTGTCCTGGGAGCAGCGTTTGGCCCAGTCCGGCTCAGCACACGGTAGGTGCCCAGTCTCTGCCCTGGGTACACCCAGCCAGTGTGGCACTTTCCTGTGTCCACTGCGGACAAAGAGGGGACACTGCTGCAGGGGGGAGTCAGCCACGAATCCCTCCGTGAGCCTACTGCTGTCCCCACATCCCAAGGAAGTGGTGACAACTTTGACTTGTCACTGAAGCAGAACCTGATGCTTAATCTGCATTCAACACCAGCTCCCCTGTGCCAGGCAGGAGCAATTCCCAGGCCCTGGAGGGACATGTGTTGAGGGCCAGCAGGACCCTCACCACACTGGCAGCTGTTCCCTGCCCCAGTGCATCTGTTTTGGTGGCCCAGCAGTTGCAGAACCTGAGTTCTGGCCTTAGGTTGGTGCTGACTGTAGCCTTCCTGGCACACCATCTTCTGTGCCTCAGTTTCCCCAGTGAGTTAAGCAGAGGGAATGCCAGGAAGTTAGAGAGATACATGGAATGCATGGGCTTGGCATCAGCCTACAATGGGGACTTGGAGAAGGAAATTAACAAAATGTGGATATCAACACTGCCACCACCTGTATCGTTTGTTCCAGAAAGCTGCAGGTCCTGGCCACCGAGCTGGTTCCCTGGGTGATTCAGAGCGGGCTCAACTCCAGCTGTGTCCTGAACATCTACTACGAGCAGCGCTGGGAGCAGCCAGTGGAGTCCCTGCGGGAGGAGCTCGGCATCTTCCCACCCCCGGCCGTGCCAGTGTGAGAGCTCATGTCGGGAAGGGCCCAGGGGATCCCTGTTGGCAGCCAGCAGCCGGCCCCAGCCGCGCTCCACATCCTCCTGCCCTGCCCGGGAGCACAGCGTGGCTGTAGCTCTGCCACCACGGACCCGAGGGCTGTGTTTCCTCCTGCCAAGAGCTGGCACCAACTCTTGGTTGTTGGTAGGGGCCAACTGGCACCTCCCTGTGCTGTGACAAAAACTCGACCTTTTTTGCTGTTTGTGATTTTGGTTGCAGGATGTCAAGGTCAGATGTGCCTTTGCCAGCTGGTCTGGCTGCTCAGGTCTCCCAGCAGCAGGATTTTGGTACTGGCGCTCCCAAATGCTGGGATGGGGAGGGAGCACATTGCAGCAAACTGATGCCTTGGCCTTCTGCAGCTCCAGGGCTGTGCAGCTAAATCCTTCCTCCCACCCTTCCCATCCTGGGAAGATCGAGGCTTCCAATCTTGGGGCTGCCCTGCGCTGGAGCTAAACCCGTGATTTCCAGAGGAGCGCAGGGGCAGGTTTGGTGCGTGCAGTGGTGAAATCCCATTTTATATTAGTGCCTAACTAGTCTCCTGTTGGGTCATATTGGATGTGCCTCACTTCCTGCTTCAGAGACCAGGCAGTGTGTGATTGTGTGCCCATGGGGCAGGCAGGGGAATACCTCCGGATATTTTCCCTCCTGGATTGGCTGTTTTGAGAGCTGATCCCGGTCTGCTGTGTCTCCCTGTAGTCCCTCCCCATCAAAAACGATGAAATCCTCACAATTTTGCTGGCTGTTCAGTAGGAATCATCCCTTCCTAGGGCAACAAAATGACACTGTTGGGATTATGGGATTGAATCTAGTGAGTGCAGAAACGGCGGCTGCTGGTGCTGTGTTTGGGAGCTGATTGCTGTCTGGGTTAATTAAACTGTGCTCCAGACTGCCAGGGAGCAGAGTTTCTGGATGTGATGGCAAAGAGCCACGAGGCCAGGGGCTCTTTGTTCATGTGTGTTTGCTGTTGGAATTCCTTCTTGTTTAATAAAATCCACATTGGGGCTTGTAGTTCATTCCCCCTGTCCTTTTGCCCCATCTCCCCTTCTGAGCTGGAGATCTGATGTGAAACCTCACCCCTTTTTGGCTCCAACCCAGACTCCCTTTATCTGACTTCTCAGTCACGCTGCAAGCCAGACTTTGGGTTTTTCCTCCAAATCCTCCCTCGGCCCCCATAGTTATTTCAAGCGGATACTAAAAGACAGCATATAAATACATCCTTTAGCTGCCAGAAAAACACACAGTGTGGGTTGTCCTAGTGCAGTGGTCGAGATGAAAGAAACATTTGCCTCTAAAATGACCCAGAAACGTCAGAGCCTTGGGGTGGATAAACCAAAGGGCAGCAAAGATTTTGCTACCAGGAACTGGGAGCAGCAGCCAAGGAAACGTGGGAAATGACGGCCGTGAGAGAAGCTTTTGCTGCATTTTGGGTTATTTAATGAGGCCTTGAAGTGTCTGGGCTGTCAGTGTTGGTAATGCCGCCTTCGCACAGCCACGTGTGGCTCGGTGGGCTGGTGCCAGCACTACAGAAATGGCACATCGTGTAATTTTAAACGGCATCTGCTCAGCCGGATCAAGTGACAGTCTCTGTGGCTCCTGTTCCTGCAGCCAGCGCTTGAGGAGCCTGCGGAAAGAAGGCGGTAGAGGAAGCAGAGGGTGATGTGGAGAGGGCAGACACCAGAAATGAAAAATGAAAATGCTTTTTTTGGAGAGGATATATTCGCTGTGGGCAAGCGGCAGCTCCACCATGCCAGTAACAGTAACTCCTGAAGTGCTGGGACGGGTGTCTGGGCACGCTCCCCGCTGGGGCCGGGTTTTTCCCCACTGCCGGGGCCGCCCCTGACCCCGCTCCCAAAACGGGTCTCGCCCTCCGCGCTCTCCCGAGGACGGGCGGGCCCTGCGCGGCGGCAGCGCCCGGGGGCGGCCGCGGGTGCCCCCGGCCCGACGCAGCCGCCGAGCCCTGAGAGCGGCGGCAAAATGCGACTCTGGTGGGACTCGAACCCACAACCTTTGAATGACTCCCGTCACACGCTAGAAGTCCAATGCGCTATCCATTGCGCCACAGAGCCCTCGCTCTGGCGCGCCGCCCTCACCGCCTCTTCCCCGCGCCCCGCCCGCCCCGCCCGCGCCATCGTTCCCCGGCACGGCGTCCGTCACCGCGGGGCCGGGCCGGTGCACCGGGCGGGACTACAGCTCCCGGCGGCCCGCGCTACCCGCCCCTCCCCGCCCCTGCCGCAGAATCGGGCGGGCCCCGCTCCCGGTGCAGGTGGCCGGGCCGCAGCGGACGCCCCGGAGTCCGGTAAGAGCGTGGCACCATCTTCCCCATGCCGGTCCGTCAGCTCCCGCCGCCGCGGCGCAGCGCTCCCTCCGCGCGGGCGGCCCTGCGGGCTCCCCATCAGGCGCCGCGGCCCTGCGGGCGGCAGCGGGGTCCCTCCGCCCCGCCGGTCTCCGCATGAGGTACCGGGGCTCCTCGTGGGGCAGCGTGGCAAGCGCCGGGACCGCTCGGTCCCCCGGTCTCCCCCCGAGCGCGCCGCGGGCCCTCGCCCTGCCGAGAGCGGCTGTGCCCGGGCGGTTCCGGGGCCTGGCCGGGGCTGGTGGCGGGGCCCGGCTGCATCCCGGTGCGGGGCCCTCCCGGCCTTTCTGCATCGGGTGATGGGGCTGGGACAGCGCTGCTCCACCTCCCTGCTGGGGTCCTCAGGAGGGTGAGGCGGGGGTCCCTGCCCAGGGCAGGTGGGGAACAGGTGCCTCCCAGGTGCCATTAGCGCTGGCGCTTCTCACAGCCCGGCCACCCGCTCTGTCACCCGCTCCCCGGGCCCTCCTCGGGCTCGGTGCTCTCGGGTGGATCCCCGCGCTTTGCATCGGTGCCTGCGGGCTGTGAGCCACAGGCAGGGCTTCGTTTTCTCTGATGCAGCTGGACAAGACCTGAATCTGTAACGCAGGGCTGGAGGTCTCTGGCAGTGACACACCGGGTATCTCTAGGGAATCTCTCCCCGGTTATCTCCGCAGGAGGCACCGGGATGCCGGAGTGAGGTGGAGATACGAGCAGAGGATAACAGGGGCTTGCCTGAGCCTGCCTTGCCTTCAAGCGGGAGATTAAGACTTTGCTGCCCACACAGAGTGGGGCTCCCCCGCTGCTGCCTCTCCACATCTGGCTGGTGTGAGGCTGTAACCGAGGGCTCAGGTCCCGGCTGAGGCACAGTAGTTTGGTGGTGATCTAAAAGTTGCCCTGTTTAAATGCAAAGAGAGGCTCCCAGGAAAAATCACAGTGAGTCCTGGCCTGCTAAAAGGCAGAGGGACAGTGTTGTGGGACGTCACGTCTGGGGGCTAGGTGTTGGTGGAGACTGGCACAAGGGGGAATCTCAGGGTAAGGGCTATGGGTAGGAAAATATCTCCAGGGGACACCTGGGAGTGGTGTCTTGTGCTCTGATGCCCCCCAGCCTGCTGCTGGTGCCACCACTCATGTCAGGACACAGTGACCGTGTGGCACTGCCTTGGCTCCCCGCCTCCCAGAATCTGGTATCAAATCCACAGAAGCTCCTTGGATCTGGGGGGAGTGCACAGAGCAGAGGGAAAGACACAAGTGTGGCTCTCAGCCCCACCAATAGTAGAAGAGCCCATGCAGGGCTTCCAGCTTCAGAGCAGGGAATCAATCTTCAAGAGGGAAATGATGCAAGTGTTTCCTTCCTCTCTGGCCTGTGTCCATGCCAGGAAGGGCCAGTTTTATCTAGGAGCAGTGAGGGTCACATCTCTCTCATTTTCCTCCTCCCAATGGTGTTGACTGAAAAGAGCCATTGCTAGATGACCGTCTCTGAATCTCAGAGCCACTTGTGGGGTGTGTCTGGGATGGGGATAGAGACGTTGTTTTGGAGGGACCAGAGACGGAGTCACTGTCCCCAGGGAATGGGGCAGGGGCCTTGGGCACTCCTGGCAGCAGCGACAGCCCTTGTTCTGCCCACTCCAGCCTGGCCTCATCCCTGACTTGCTCTGGCTGTGTCTCCAGCCTAGCCAGGCCAGGAAACTGCCCACCAACATGACGGTTTGCAAACACAAACAGAGCTCAAAGAACTGAGTTTCCTGTCCCTGATTCTGTCTGAACTGTGTTGTGGAGCACGTGAGGCTGTGCTCTTCCAACAGCTGCAATGGCTGTCCTGGAGCCAGGCATGCAGGAGAGCTTGTGCTTGGGGCCTGGGAGACTCTGGATTTTGAGAACGGAGGGATTCTGGGGTAGAGTGGAGGCTTCCAATCATCTGTACAAGGTCTCCTGCCATGACTTAGCTCACACATCCATGGAAGTGACTTTATCCTGCATCTCATGTTGCTGGGGCGTGGCAAGACCCCTGGCTGGTGTGCAGGATGTGGCTCCCCAGGTGGGAATGGCCAGGCTCTTGCACCAAGCAGCACTGTGCTGATGGCTCATTTGGAGGCCATCTCCAAGGCCAGATAAAGTTACATCTCTGGGAGCTCTGGGCTGCTGGGTTACATCCTCACTGCCAGGAGGACTGATGACTCAGGGACCTCATCCAGGAAGCTGGGGGCTGCTCAGGCATCCCACACCCATGGGATTGTTATCAGCAGGTCCAGTGTGCGTGGGTTAATGGCCGTGGTTTCTCTTTCCCCGCAGGCCACGATGCTGCGTTTGGCTGCTTTTGCAGCTGTGCTGCTGTTCTTCAGGGTCACTCTGGAACTGTCCTGGGCCCAGGCCATCCCTGCTCTCTTCGTCTTCTACCTGGCATCTGGTGGATGGGACTTCTTCCTCATATTCCTCAAGACATTACCAAGGGACATCACGTAGGTGTCCTGTCTGGGATGGCCCATGGGTGCCCCCGGCCCTCTGCTCTACCTTGGTGTATGTGTATATGTGAGCACAGCCCCTGACTCCTTGCATAGCCTGGGTTTCTGCTGGTGCCTGGCCTGGCTGGAAGGAGAGCTCCCTCTGCCATGTCCGGGTGACTCCAAACTCTCAGGCAAACTTCCCGAGAAGGATAGATTTCAGCTGAGCTCAAAGTCTATTGATTGTCCTTGTACTTCACCCTGTCCCTAAAGCTGCTGG